AAAATAAACTTTCTACAGAAAGGTACGGTTTCCAACGAGTAGGATGGCGCCAGACGCCACAATTTTCAGCAGAAAAAAGCTTTATAAATGGCAAGAGAAAAAAGTAGGGTGTACAGATAAAGAAAGTGCCTGAATTGAGAAGAACTTTTGTCTAATTCTAGCATTATAAAAAACCTTTTAAGTGAGCTTGACTAAATTCGCACATGCTCGCACTTGAACTTAAACTTCAACGGCGTCCGTTACATCTAAGACCGGATGATATAAATGGAATGGGTTTGCTTTATCAAGAATGGGGCCGATGAAGAGAATACGGTTTCTTTGGTGGTCTGGCAAAGGGTCACAACAATTTTCCATTTAAGTAGGAGTTAGGAATGCACAGATTCCACGCTTAAATAAAGTCAAAAGGGCTCTGATTGGTAAGCACGAGCTGAGATGGGTGACTCGCGAGAACACCCAACATCCATTGAGCAGGTTTGCGCTACATTGTACAATGCCAGATTGCGGTTAAGCCGCATGGATTTCGCAATACGTCGTTAGATTTGGCACGAATTGGCTCACGATGCCAATTTGCGATGGCGATCCCGACCTGGAATAACCACCCTCAACTTATGATCGTGACCAAAGATCGGATCGTTGTGACATCCAATTTGGACCACATGAAGGTCCTACTGTTGTGGCATTCGAGTAAAGTAAATATAGACCCGACTGCTGATACACATGATGGGGACAACATTTTCAAGGGGACGATCTTCCTGGAAAAGCGAAGCGTGAAATCCGGTTGATACACAGGTAGGCACAGTGATAGAATTATAGGTTTGATTGGCAAACATTAAGAAGAGTTCTCTTTGTTTTAGAATTCACCTCACCTTTTTCGGGTAAGATTATCGAGCCTCCCTAATCAGAAGGAGAATTGGCGCTTGTTCCAAGAACATCACTCCTGGATATTTATGGCCAGGAAAAGAAGAAATCTCACCCCCACCTGTGATTAAACGCAATGAACTCTAGTAATTCAGGTACTAGATTGCGAGACGGCTCAAGTGGTAAGAATGCTCGCGAATTGATTAATAGTATTTTAGATAAGGTGATCTCTAGAAAGATCCGGGCAACTCCTCTAGATCCCCCAAGCAAATTTCGGTCGCGTGAAATTTCTCGGACGTTCGTACCAATCTTACCCAGATTCAAGATTGGCACAGATTGAAGTGCACCAAGAAAAGTCAACCCGCCCTACAGACGGGTACACAAGTTAAAAAAAACAAGTGCAAGTGGAATTGGGGCACCGTCTCCGTTAGTCGGTTGATTGGGCGCCGATGAAAAGTTGTTATCGCATTAGCAAATTTTTGTGGATCTTACTCTGCCACAGCGGTGTATGCCAATCTCTCGAAAGTTGGTAAAGAGAGATGCTATAGTGCACATGATGCCTCACAAGAATAACGTTTGAGGTCCAAGTCTTTTAAATTAAATATTACGCTAAAATTGCGTCTAGGTGTAGTGTGGGAAAGAGCCGCGGCTGGTTGATAGGAACGCTGATGATTTCAGTTGCTATCGTCTTTGCATTTGAAAGATTGAAGACAAATTGACACAACGTGCATTAGTAGCTTTTTTGGGCCTCCCACATCTTGAGTGTTTGACGGGAAAAGTCGAAACAAAGGAAAAGAGAGGTAAAATTGATAATCAGTGACTTTTTTATAATCAGTCTATAAATTCCTGTGTGACACAGCTACAAAGTTTTTTTAAGAGCACTACTTTGGCTTGCAGCCACCTATTTCAATAGATCTTATAAGGATATTTCTGCGTAGTATGCCTGTTTTTAAAAATAAGAGGCTAGACTCTACAGTTTCAATCTTAACGCTTAACATTCAACAAAAATGTAACAGCACAAAATGCTCATACTAAACACGACTTTTAGGCTTGAATTTTTTTGCTCAAAAGTAAAAGTAGACTCTAATTGTATTTCATTTACAGTAGTAAACCTTTTCTCAAGTACCCTATACCAAGGTTTCTTGCAGTGCCATCATGTAATAAGCATGCCAATTACTTTGGTGAGTGACAAGTCAATCATTCGTCAAAGCATGACGTACATAGTACTCATTGTATTATTTCTAAAGATGTGAACGATAAGGTACAAATGGTCCACTTCAATTTTTTCGAGTCACATTCAATCTCTCTCATTATCATGCCAACCTTAATCGGATACGTTGTGCCCCTTACATTCTTAGGACCTCTTTAAAAAACAATCTGACATTTCTTAAACAACTGTTTGAATTATCGGTTGCCTGACGATTTCGAGATCCAGATCTAGTAAAGCTAGCGAGCAGAAATATCGCTTGTTAAAAAATTTGGATGATTGCAACTGAATAGGTGCGCCTAACACGAAATGATGGAGCCCGAACCATGATTGTGGAACTACTTATCGTGCATTGACTCGATCGACACCGATGTATTGAGCAAGTTGGATAAAAGCGGAATGAGCGCGAATCTGTAGAAAAATCTATGTGCTTACAATAATGAGGTAGGAACGGGAATGACTGATTAATGTCATTTTGCTCTATGATAAGGACATTAGGCAATATTAAAGACGCCGGTGTCGACGTCAATAAGATTGATGGCATGCACGCATCGGTAAAGTGAAGAAGGATTAACGAGCGAAAAAAAGACCTTAACTACAAGTATGCTAATCGTGGAATAACTTTATTATAATATGTGTGGATTGCATGACCTGAAAGCAGACAATAGAGCATGTCTCTTAACGCTTATTGTCAGGAAGACCACAGAATTGGTGCAGCTGGTACATTTGGACATGATTCAACCCATTCAGAAGAAGTCTAAGAGTGAGTGCTAGCACGTGCTCACATAAACAACAGAGGTATCAAAAGAGCTGGCGTGTAAAATCAATCTTCGGCTCGATTAATCGTACGTACGTGGCTACGTTGAGCATACACATGTCATAGAGTCTTTTAGATCAGAAAATCATTAAATGTACATTCTTACGGTACGCCATGAGCTTATAGAGGTACATTTTGTTCGATATGGATTTAAATAAGATGAAGGTAATTAGGTCGCTACGCCTCAAAAAGCTAGATGTGGGTTGGCATTTATGATTAATCACTTGAACGAGCGTACGCCCTAAAAAATTAAAAGGATGATCAGTGAGTTAGTTTAGCACGAAGAAGAATAGCGATTCATAAAAACAGTAGATGATAAAGGAAAGGATGCCTACTACATGTCTAATGCAGAGCATGACTACTTGGCGATACTATAAACAGCGACTTGATTAAGTAAGAACGAGACAATCATGATGACAACATTGCTTAGTATCCAAAAATATCGTACAATTAACATCTGGACAACCGGATATTTACTCTCAAAAATGTATGCAATGGCGAAGTCTATAATAGTTGGGCGACGAGAACGATCCAAAAAGTAACGCTCCCTTTCTGGACTTTGTCGTCACCTAAGAGGATTCGGTAACGTGAAGAAGACATTCTTGCTAAATCAGTACTAGATTACGATGTATTGTGCGAACAATTGACGAGGCACCAACCGCGTGCCAGCAGGTATTGAAAACAAAAAGTTTAACAAAAATAAATTGAGGCAATCAAAATCGAGTTAAATGTAAATGCAGATCATGACATTTGCGTTAATTTTTATAATGGCTGGCTGAAGCCAGATCTATGTGGTTTCGATGAACGTATACCAAGAACTGAGAAACGCCAAGTTGATTAAGGCCATGTTGTGCAGTAAAATTACCCTTGGGGAGTAAAAGGCTTTACACAAAACTTCGATGTCATTTTCTTTGAGATCTACCTACCCTTTGCCAACATCAACTCTATCAGGTTGATTTATGCGTAATTGTTGAATGCGGCTACTTCAAAGAGCAGCACAAGCGGAAAAGTCGTTTTAACAAATATTTTTTAAGAGTATGGATGCATTGAAGTAAATTATGTCATCACCAATGCGGAGACTATAAAAGCAAATTTGGCGAGGCTGTACACGGCATAAAGCAAGCTACAGCGCGAGCAAACGAATATTTAATGAATTTCTAATGACAAATAGAATTTTGTATTTGTAGGTAGACCCGTATGTCATTATTTAGGGCTTAGAAGTTATGAAGATGAGTATCTTTTTGTGTGTAGAAAATAAAATCATTGCTAAATTGAAGCTACAGAGAGATAAACGAGGTCATATTAATGCAAAAACTTGATTGAAAAGAAGAAAAGGTTAGATGTTCGTATTTTCATTAGGTACAATTGATCATGGCTGAAACGCAGGCTTGCTGATAGTTAGGCAGACACAATACAGTAATGATGTCGGGAGTTAGTTTAGCTTTTATAGTGACACAATTGTGATCATTCCTTTAAGTCTATGAAAAGCTGGCAAAGATGTAGCTGCCGACGGAGAAAGCATCTCCAGAGTATGATATATCATCAGTAAGACAATAGATCGGATGATTAGTGTATACCGAACCTGCACATCTTGGATGTAACTCACATGGACACGCGGCTGTCAAGATTCTTGAAGGTCCCGAGAAGAATTGTGAGGCTTTAAACGCGCTCTCCTTTACTCAAAAAAAACAAGACATAGGTAATAACTGCGGCAGTACATATGGCAGGAATTAATTAAAAAAGCCTTGAGACGCAAACTGGGGCACCGAACAAGACTACGTTCAATCAGTGGTAATATTGGGATCGTTAATTCACAAGCCATTTTCAACCTTAAATAAAATTTAAGGTGGAGCTGAGCTCCCCGTAGACGGGTTTTATTGTACAAAGACTCTGCACCAAGAGGTACTAATGAATCTACATGTATTTCAGATTGAAAACTGCTAAAGTCATACCCAATTTCTCTTAGATTCACACCCTTCCTTCAAAATCTTGTATGTACAAGGTGCGCAATCGCCGTTGGACAATGACGAGTACTTTTTCTGACACTCGGCTACGGGCGACATCTTGCGCGCTGCTGTAGCTGCTGGCACCGACATAGGCAAACAGGTCATAGCTGCAATGGAGTCGGGCGCACTTGTGACCGACGAGATTGTCGTCGGTATCATTAAGGACGCCATCAAGAGTTCGGAAGACCGTCTTGGATTTATTCTTGACGACTTTCCGCGAACGGTCGTGCAGGCCAAAAAGGTGCGAACAAGAGGAGATATAGACGAGTGTCCAAATTGCAACGCAGCGGCTGACCATAGTTCCCTCTTTTTGTATGTGGTGCTGTGCAGCTCGACGTGATGTTGACAAGGAAAAACACCTCGGTGGATGCTGTGGTGATATTTAACGTGCCGGACAAAGTGCTGGTTGAACGCATTGCAGGTCAACGCGTGCACTTGGCTTGTGGCCACAGTAACCATGCCAAGTTTGCTCCGGCGAATGTGGACGGTAAGGTTGACATTACGGGCGAGCCGTTATTTCAGCGCAAGGACGACAATGAAGCCACGCGTGGCTTGCGTCTGGAGGATTTTTACAAGCAGACGAAGCCCGTAATTGTCTTTTACCGTGAGCAGGGTAAACTGGTGGAAGTAAATGCTCACACGGAATTGCATTAGGTGACGGGCAGATCCGTAGGAGCCTCGGCTCGGATTTGAGTACAGCACGCTTTGCTTTGTCCCCCCTGACTACTTACAGACATTATATCATGCTTTTACAGACAGCATGTCAGTTTTCTCCCCTCAACCTATTGAGAAATCACATTTAGGGTAGACACGCTTTCCTGCAATCGAACTTTTAATAGTAACAGCATAGCCTTAACCACGTGCAAAGGTCTGCACAGTATCTATAAGTTGCTCCCGACTGGCATACTCAACCTCGGGAGGAGGAAGCATGTTTTTGCGTGGTGCCCTATCAGTAAACGCTGGAGGAGCTAGACCACAAACGTGAGTAGTATCTTTGGTATTTCTTACGTATCACTTGACAATTAATGGCCTATATTATCGAGTAATACCTTTGTCAAAAAACAGATCTTTAAACGAATCGGGAATTTGTATATAAGATTTTGAAGGAAGGGTGTGAATCCAAGGAAAAGGGGTGTAAATTTAGCATTTCCCTTCAGATTTTGTCGAATAATAATATCAGAGCTACTAAAATTTGGTGGTGGGCAACCAAGTAGAGATCTCTGCTGACAAGCAATGTGGCATACAAAGTACGCTACAAGCACTGATGGAAAGTGCAAGTAGAACTTGATTTTCGCCGGGGCTTCAACCTAAGCTAGGAAACAAGGGTTGTGTTATCAGGTTGTCGATAATCTAATTAATGTAGTAGATCTAAAAAAAATTGAGGCCGTTTCAGTTCTCAAATATAACCTGACGAAGTAACTGACGAGTTCCCAGTGACATCCGAAACGTGTCTGACCTCGTTAATATGCGATTCGTTATTTCCGCTAATTTTTGATGAGCATGTCTTCATGCGCTCACCTTCTATTCGAGAGAAAATTTTGAAGACTATCATAAATGCCGACTAGGTGAGGACGTACACCGTCGATTGGACACTCTAAAAAATTACTAGGAATGCAATGGCTCGTATTAGTATTTGAGACGAGAGGCATCGGTAGAAGAATCGATAATTATAAGGGATGACTGCAAGTGATGAGGTAGCGCCACTGATGCACGTTATTTATTATAAGTTATTTTCCTCTTAAGTCAGTAAGATTGCTTTTGGCTTCGCCTAAATGGATTCAGTTATTTTACTGGGCTGGCATTAGATAGGACGAACATATTAAATAAAAGAAGTGGCTACATCTAACAAAAAATGAGCGCTAGATTTCATTTGTCCCTTCTATCCAATAAGCTTCCAACTGGACATTCTTTAGATTATCGTAATTTTTCTAAAACATTGCGCCATCGGAGGAGCTAAGTTAGAATTATTATACGAGTCATTCTTTGGATAATGTTCTGCACTGTTACTCCCATCTAGCTGCATTCTGGCCAATACTTACCAATTTTTTTTACTTGTCTACATGATTGATTTCAAGCATACGTTTTTACATTAAACGTAGGGAGCAGCTGATGTGCCTTCATGTTTCTCAAACGAAAATTTACCTCGGACAGTAAAAAACCCGTTACATCATATCAGCCTCTCGATGGCCAAATTGTATTGTTGTGATTATAAAATGGTTTTTATTCGCGTAAAGTATCTCTTTTAGATTGCTGTATTGTAAGTACTGGCAAGTGTAAACTTCACGCATCGATAGACCGCATACAGCCGTCAAGTTGAGGATTCAGTGTATATATATAATATAAGAATTATTTTGGCTGACTAAATATAACTCCAATCAACCACACATTAGATATTGCTCCAAAAATCTCCCATTAAATCTCAGAGCTATCCATGACAGGCATTTACAGATATTGGTTGCGTGGTTTAACTGGAACGTAGCGAGAGGTTGAGCAGCACAAACGATGAGTAATCCACCGACCATTTACAAATGGCCTTCATATCCTATTACAGGTTTTGTACGAGGTGAAGGCTCGTAAGCAAAAGTGAAGACTTATTACCGCGCCCTAATTGTATGGTGCACTTACTTATAGGACGAAAGGTTTACCGTAAGGCTCGTTTGTACCGGACTTTTGTTGTTATGTGTAAAGCAAAAATCGAATAGTATATAATGGCCTGCTGCTATCTTCTCATGCAGCCATAAATGTTTTCAACCAAGAGACTCTTCAATGTTTGGCTGTTCTCATTGAAGTGGAAACTCGTTAAGAGAATTCTTGCTCATTAATTGCTGTTCTTTATTCTGTTACATTTACCTTTTGTACCGGAATCACCTAATGATGGCGAATTCTTCTGTTTATGTGCTTGTACATCATTACATGTAAGATTGATGGTTTTTGTAACCTGATGGCCCGTCCGTCATCCGGCGGTAGTTGTTCATGTTTCGGATATTATTCGGTTCTGGAAAAGATGGCATATTCTATTGAAAAGTCTAGTATTTTGCTTGGGTGAGCTACAATCATGTCTTGATCAGAGATCTATTCCGGAACGCATCGTGGTAGATGAAACGACTGATCGTTTATTTCGTGAAAAAGCTGATATTATGAGCCTTGTGATATGAATATGGTCCGTGCCCTCATACAAACTCAACAAATTGACTCCGCTAAAGCTTGTGAATCGTCAGGAAGATTAGGTTTAATTTGAGAGTCATTACCAACTTCACGATCCTTACTCCACCTCGCGTCAGCTTATGTACATTGTGTAAAGCCATGAATTTTCTTCTATTAACGAGCAAAACACCTAAGTGAATCTGCAAATTACTCTGGTAAAACATAAAAGACCCAGCACTGCCGGAAAGCTTGGTCATGACAACAGATAAAGACAAAGGTGAACAAACGCAAAAAGTTAAGGTTAAACCAAATTATTTTTATAGAGCGGCCGTCTTGCCCAAGCCGTCGCATCTAATGCAGCGATGTAGTAGCCTATAAACAATGAAATGCATAGAAACAATTTCAAGAGGCTGCCAGTCTAACAAAAAAATCGTATCTTTGATCGAATGACAATTGCTCAACTAAAATCCGACAATCTGGAATGGGTAATTTATGTAGCTATTTTTTTTGCGATAATTGCAGATAAATCCAATTTTTCAGTTTGTATGAGATGAAGAAAAGAGCGCGGCATTTTGAAATGAATTAATTTCTGTGAGAGCATCGCAACAACCTTCAATTTATAAAGTTTGTACATTATGACTTCATTGAAAATTGGCTGTCATGGAACATGACGATATTTTTAGAGAACACAGAAGAAGCGTCCAAGTGGCCGACAAAAATGAAGCTCGGAGCGTAATGTTAAAGAGTAGAGCACACTATGCGAGTGGGCAGTGTAGGGCACATAAATTTAATCGACAAACATCTATTATGTTTTTGATTTGTGGATTTGATAGAGAGCTTTAGTATGAAAGACGTTGGCCAGAAAAGAAATATGCAAGGTGAATTGATTTAGCTCTATAGGTCACAATCTATGATTTCTAGTCGATGCCAACTGAATTCTTACGACTACGTATTTATAGTTTCTGCGTCTCGCATTAATAATTGCCTAGTCGTGAGTGTTTAACATCTACATATGCATATCGGTTGCCGCTTGCATTATCGGGCGCTTCTTCGACAACCGGTACGAAAAAAACCTGCGTTGATGGTAAAAATACCTTGGTTCACATACGCAATAGCGGTGTCATCTCAACACTTCCGCTTACCGCTTTTGCTAGATGCGATTAGGTCCGGCACCACTGAACTGCAGCCTGTATTCGAGTCGTTTGGTCCCAATTGCCTTCTTGAACAAATGTGTCAATTGGTACACCTTTGAGATGTACTATAGCATACTAACGTCTCAACTACATTATTGTGAATAAACTAATGATGAATGTCACTGTAATAGGCCTGCCAATGCTACCTGCATCGGTGGCAAGTCCAATAGCGGCTTTTTTATCATCCCAGACCCGCAATGCTGCCACTTGCTCGAGATTAAGAGCCTTGAGCAACGCACGAACCTTCATTAACTTGGCGTAAAAAAGATCAGAGCCATGAATCCTCTTTTGCTATTTTAAATACCGTGCGTTAATACTTAGACTTAAACACTACTGGTGTGTTACCAATATTCGTTGTCGCTGATACTAAGCTACAATCATCGATGTTGTTTTCTAGGTCCGCATCCGTGTATGCTGTAGCTTGCGCCTCGCTAGAGCTGCCGTCCTAGGGTTTTCTAATAGTAACGTATTCACTTTAAATCGCAAAAAACACGAAAAACTAGCCTTCAAATGTTGCTGACCTGGATTATTTAATAAACTTAACAGGGCGCGTTCATATTGTGATGTATAGTAAACACCCTATTAACATTATTTACTTCTTCAAACGCACTTTCATGTATCTTATTTTATCTTACAGATAAGGTAATCACGACAGCTATGACCTGTTCCGCATGGGTTGACGAAGACCTTTGATCTTTGCTAGTAACACCTTTTTTACAACGTCGTCAGTTTTAAAAAAACATCGAATCTTAAGCGGGTTGCCGTTGTAGTCACGGTCAATATCCTTACTAAGAATGAATTCGCCTTGCTCAACTTATTCATGCTGAAGGATTACTGGAGTACTGCCTTCACCTATTGAATGCATTTGTTGGTTATGTCAGCAATGATTATCTCGTCAACATATCGGCACACTTAGACGTAGTTTCTTCTCAAACGTTGACATATACACATTGATCCGCTCCACTACTTCGAATCATGTAAAACTAAGTAGTGTGTGAAGGGTCTTATTCCACACATTTGTTATGCTCGGGACAGTTAAGTACATTATTTTTTCGGTGTTAGCTATGCCTCCGGGACATTCCATGTTAATCGCTACTCAAAAATACCGTAGCTGCCTGCAGTTGTCCTGGCAAGTCTTTGCATAATTTTCAGCTGGCATTGCCCAGATTGAGGTCATTTCCTACGCAATTAAATACGTCTCATAGAAGTCTCACCAAACATCTGCTTGAAGACCTTCGCAAATAGTCGAGCTTTGCAGCGCACAACTTGTCCGCGCTTGTTGCGCTTCTTCGCAAACACACATCTGCATACGATTGG